CAAGCATAATTTCTGTCTTGTGTTTTTCTCCTGGACCCCAGACCTCAGGTGTAGAGCCCAGGGGCAGTGGTAGCAAACTTCTCCAGGGATATGGAGTAGGCACTGCTGACAGGAGCCGGGGCCTCAGAGTGTCCACCTGAGTCAAAAACAACCTAATTCTGAATCGCACACACATATTTATTTACCTGGCTGTCACTGCAAGTTTCCTCCTCACTCAGCCTGAATCTTTGCATATGCATCTAAGATGTTCATTTCGATTGTTATGTTCCTTCTCCTGCAGCTTCCTGCCTTAGTGTGTACTTTAGATAATGAAGCCTGCCTTCGCCAAAGGAGCACCAGTGTGCACAAGGATGGAGACGTTGTGATTGGGTGTTTCTTGTTTCTTTATTACTATATCTACTATACTGCAATCTTTGTTATAAAGCCTACTAGAGAATTCTATTTTGTTCCGTAAGTGTCTTCCTCATTCATTGGTTTTCTTTCCGGACATCAGGATAGATAATTGCTACGGATCCATATTGCATTAATATTCTCTATAGTGCCGTCTGTTTTGCCCATCGCCCCGACATGTGTACAACAGGCCAGCCCACACGTTTGGCCTCTGTTTATACTTGGGAATGAGGGAAGAGAATATTCTTCCTATTTATTTCTGCTTCTACCTTCTCTTTTCACTCTTGAAACCTGAGAGGGATCCCACTCTCCACCATATTCCATGGTGCATGACCTTCCTGCATGGCATTAGGTGGTGTTCTGCATCTCAGTTGAACCCTGTAGATTAATGGAACTCTAAGAGCCTATTGCCAAATATTCCCTAAGAAAATGAAGGGTTTGCTGTTTCTCTATATCTCTAACTGTAAGCTTCCTTATTTTATTATTGATTATTTGCTGATATTTCTACCCCTTCTGCTTGGACAATCTTCTTCCTGTAATCATTCAGTTACTATTTCCAATACACTTTAGGGTGTTCCAGGACTCCTGCCACTGCAAGGTGAGCCCAGAATAAGTGTGAATCCTGTGTGAGACTTTTCCCCGCCAATGTGTTTCTTCCTCAGTTAGATGCATGCATCATTTCTCTATTTGGTACTATCTTATCAAGTCTCACGCCAGACACAGAATTAAATAGTGAATTTTCCAAAGTGTCTGAGAATTCTAGCAAATGACTTGTGGTTTTGTGAGAAAAGGAGGGATCAGTGGAATAGTGAGTGATTGAGTCTTACAGAAGATGCTGACCCACAGTGTTCTCATGGCGGCTACCCATAGGAAGGGTTAAAATTAAATACAGAAAGATCTTCCTTGCTCATACACAGTGCCACAGCCGTGTTCTAAAGATTACACATTAGGATGTTTGATGGACATCCTGACATGAGTAGAAAGTCACTTTAACCTGGCCATATCCCAAGGAGTTTCTTTCTCACCTGTCTAGAAGATGCAGATGTTTGATCTGTGAGTTACTTGGTCAGTTTTGGGGGGTTACACACTCTTCTTCTGGTCATGCACAAAGTTTGGACGCTGCCACTTTTGTGTCAACTGGTATTTAAGGGGCCTCACTGGCAGGAGGAGTGTGGGATCTCATGTGTAGAGAGGACACTCTGCCCAGACCTTTCCCAACCAGAACCCTGAAAACCCTATGAAGGGACATTTAGCACTGGAATTGGGACTCCAGGTGTGGAAGCTCTTCAGATCTAGTGATATAACCATCTCTGAGCTTTCTCTTTCTTTTGTGTAATCATGTATGTGTTGACTACTGCTTTATTAGACTTTGTTTTATTACTTTGAAGCTGGTGATCGAGGCATTTGTCATTACACCTTGGATGTGTATTTTTCTTCAATCATTTTTTCAAATGTGTGTTACAGATGTGCTTAATACACAAAGCTTGATTTAGAGACCTGTTACTGAGTGTTTCTTGTTGCTGACAGATCAGAACTATTTTTGAGTGTCTGACTCAGAGAACTGTGCTCAAAATCTCCTAAACCCTGTGAGAAGAGTAATTACTCATGTCACTTATTGAAAATTATAAGAAGGATTTTATTGGATCGGGACATAACCCTCAGTATAGAATACACTGAAATGTGATTTGTTTGGGGAGGTGGATTCTGAATGGTGGACGGGCTTGTGTGTGCAGAGAGCTAAAAGGAGCATGGAGGGGGGACAGTGAGGCAGTCTGGCAAAAACCCCCTGAGCAGATTCTAACTGAAGAGAGCCCAGTGTGATCAGACATCAGCTGAGTATAGTAGGTAATGAGAACATAGTCAGATATCTAGCATTATCAGATTCCAAAGACAGTTCAGCAAAGCAGGGTCTATTTCTGTTCCTCAGAGGAGAGGATGAGCTGCCTACTCTTCTGTTGTCCTCTGCTGTCCCCACATACGCTCTTGGAATCAGGCTGCTTTTGTGGTTGGCCCTGCTCTAGAGCCCTGCACCCTGAGCTCTGTCTGGGGCTGAAAAGAATCCACTTGCAGTTCCAAGGTGCTCTGCCCAGGCTGATGTATCCTCCAGGAACAAGGCTTTAGGGATCAGAAGAGAATGTTTATTCTTGCTAAAATGAGAGGGAAAAAGTAAGAACTTTTGGAAAATAAGTGCTAGTTATTATGCCTGTATAATTCATATCCTTCAACCTATCATAGTTAATTCTCACTCATTTAGGGGTGTTCCAAATTTTCAAATTAATTTCTCCGGTCATTTAAGGAGGGCAATAGGTGTGTGATACTTAGAGCAATGTTCCTGATTAAAGCTAAAGAATGTGGATGAGTAAAATGGCTCTGCTCAAAGTTGTATATTCTTTAAATTACCTTATGCATATCATCAAACTGCATACTGCAACAAAATAATGGGCATTTCCAAACAACCCTCAGGGAAGTAATATTTCCTCAGCCTTTACATTGGGCAGCGGGCCTAAGGTGAATTTGAACAAGTGGCATCATGCTGCTCTATGGGCATGTCCTGTAGTAGCATTTGGATGGATCACATTGTATGCATTATCTTCAGATTATTGCATTTTATGTCATCCTTCATCAATTTTTTATCTTAGGAAAGTCGTTCTAATTTGCAAAAAAACGTTTGTATATTATGGACCAGAAAATATTGTTAACCAAGCATTTTTGAAATGAATTCATAGGCGCTTAGCTTGTTGTAAATATTTTCACATAAATCGTGCTTAACCTGAAAAAGATATGAGCATCTAGGTTGCAAAAAAATACCGTTCATTTGCCTTTACATTTTTCCTATTCGCAATTCATCTCAATGTATAACGCTGAAAACACTTGTATTAAGTTTATTACTTTAATAATCTAAGACATTATTTAGTATCTCTGGAATTTTTTTGTGATCAATGTGTGTACTCACTTAATTTCAGTATGCATAATAGCTCACTTTTACTATGAATAACATAATTTAATATTTCATGCATTTTAAAAAAATCATGATAAAAACAATAGATGATAATCAGACAGATTAGATAGAGAGACAGGTAGATAGAGACAGATAGATAGATATAGATGGAGAATTACTTTCTCCTAATCTGTTCCACTGATGTATCTATTAGCTGCTTTTTCTCTGAATAACATGCTCCTTTCATGTTCTGAAACAGTTTCACTACTTTTATAGATTTCATAAATTTCAGAGCACTTGTGTAATATTTGTCTCTGATACAAAAGTCTCTCTTGTAATGTTTCTGAGCAGGGACAACATTGATAGAATTTTTATATTAACATTTATAAAATATTCTTTTTAGTACTTTTATCTCTTTACTTGAATGTAAAGGTCCTAACATGTCATATTGTACATTTTGTGAAGTCTATTGCTATTCTATATGTGTTTTTCTCAAAGGACTTTCACTCGTCAATTTTATAATGGAAATATTTTTTTATTCTCATTTACCCAGCTTTTCTTTGAGGTCTCCATCAGAATTTTATTTTACTTTTACGCGAATAATCTTATTCCTAAAGGAATGCTCATACCTGCTTGTCTCTTCAATTTTTTTTCTCTCCGTACTTGCTGAATATTTCTTCTATGGCTTAGAAACTCCAGTGCAACAGTAAGTGATTCTGATACTAACAAAGAAATCTTGTTTTAACAACTTTTTCAATGCACATATTCCTGATATACCGCTTCTTTAAGAAATTTAATCCCACAACATTCACAGCGGATTGCCCTTTGTCAATACTATGTTCAGTTTTCTTAACAGAACTCTCTCAGGAGGAGAAGCGTGAAGCAATTGTCTGTCCCATCATTCCCTGGGAGGAGAGTGAACTTGTGTTCTTGACCTTCACCCATCTTCATGTGACTCACTGCTTTATGCTTTAAGTAAAATCTAAGTTTTGACTTGAAAGTATTTTAGTTTTCTCTTTAATTTTATGTTTAGTTCTCAAATACAATTAATTGTGTTCATAGATGCAGTGTTATGTGCTGCTATATACTGATATTATCTAATAGGTAAATCAAGTGGATTAATGTATCCATCACCCCAGAACTTCTTCACATGCATGAGTGTGGATAGCAATTCTGTTGGTGATATGTTGAACTAACAACATTAAGGAAGTACCTTTTTTCTGGTTTCTTTTTGCTGGTATGGAATACTATATGTAGTTCAAAATATATACTCTTTTTCTCCTTGCAAACTGTGAGGATATTTGAAAGTATCACATTTTCTAAAGACCTACACAGTGTCATTCTACACACAGATTTTATTCTGAATATATATAGTAAGGTCATGTTAACTGTGTAAGAAGTATAACAGAATGATGAAGCAACTTTTCCAGGAATCTTGTAAGGCAACTGAGCTCCTCCATGAGAAATTCTGCCCCATCATTCATCTAATTCCAGTGACGTTCTGAAAGTCAATCTTTCACCCTCATCATCTCCAGACCTGGGTTCTAATGATATGAGTGCATGGAAAGAACACAGCATTCAGTCCATAAATGGTACTGGACTTGATTGGAAGATGATCACTCCTTGAGTCTTGTCTTGAAGGACCTCTGTGCTCTCTCTGCAGGCTGACGCCCAGCAACTACCAGAACTACCTGGCTTTCGCTTTTGCCATAGAACAGATAAACAGGAATCCTCGTCTTTTACCCAACATTTCTCTGGGCTATGAGTTCCACAATTTCATTAACAGTCATTGGATGATGCTAGAAAGTTCCTTCATTTTGCTCACAGGACAACACAAGATCCCTAATTACACATGTGAGAGAGGAAGCAAGTGTGCAGCAGTACTGACAGAAATGTCATGGGATACCTCGGGTCAGATTGGACCACTGCTGGACCTCTACAGATTTCCCCAGGTGAGGGCTGGGTGGACAGGAAATGGTGGAAGCACATCCATGGGGCTTCAACTACCAGTAGCAGAAAGGGTTAAAAATGAGACAGGGATATGCATCTTTCATAGTGTATTGTGCACCCGCATCTGAACCCAGAGACTTAACAAGTTCCATTGAATTTATTATTTATTTTTTTGACCAAAGAGGAGGAAAGGAAGAAAGAAATGTTTCTGGGTTGTCTGAATATATTCATTCACTTCAAAAAAAGTCTCCTGAGGGTGATGGTTAGCAAGATGGAAAGAACACGAGTCTCCTACAACTTGTGGGTGTTACTCCGGACTACTGTAGCGCTTTTCATCAACACTTCAGGTTATCACCAAGTTTTCTTTTCCTTTAAGGTCACCTTTGGCTCATTTGATCCTACACTGACTGACAGTGGGCAATATTCTTCTTTGCATCAGGTGGCCCCAAAGGACACGTATTTGGCCCTTGGCATGGTGTCTTTGATGCTTCATTTCCACTGGACCTGGGTGGGTCTGCTCATCGCAGAAGGCCAGAAGGGTCTTCAGTTTCTCTCAGATATAAGAGCTGAGATGGACAGGAACAGAGTCTGTGTAGCCTTTGTGAAAATGGTCTCAACTGTGGCTGTCTCATATTTCTCATTTACAAAGCAGCATGATGTTCTGACTGCCGACCCTGCATCAGCCAATGTTGTGGTTATTTACTATGATACTGATAGTACACATGATGTAAAGTACAACATGGTGCAAGACTCAGTGACGTGTAAAGTCTGGGTGACAAACTCACGATGGCATGCTGACCTTTCTGGGAGAGATTTCATACTTGACCCCTTCCATGGGACTCTTGTTTTTTCACATCACTATGAACAGATTTCAGGTTTCAAAAAGTTTGTCCAGGAAGCTACCCCTTTCAAATATCCAGAAGACAATTACCTTTTTGTGTATTGGTCCAAAAATTTTGATTGCTCCTTTTCTGACTGTGCCTTGAAGGACTGTACACCTAATGCCTCTGTGGCTTGGTTGCCTCCTAATCGTTTTGACACAGCCATGAATGATAGGAGCTACAATATATACAATGCTGTGTACGCTGTGGCCCATGCCCTCCATGCGATGCTTTTTGAAGAAGTACAAAGGCCACCAATGAGAAATGGACAAGTGAGGATGTTTCACCCCTGGCAGGTAACGTGCATTCTCTTGGATGATGTGCACTGTCATAACGGTGCCCCCTCAAGTTATTCTATGTGTTTCACCCAAGAATACTCAAACCATTTCTGCAAAATACAAGACCTTGTATAGCACACTTATTGTTAAGAAGTCAGTTCTTGAGCTGAATTGAAATGACTCTCAGTCAAGCATCCTCAGGCAATGAGGAGAAAGCAGGAGGCCAGCTCACTCCTTCTGTCTAGAGGATGTCAACGCCTTACCTGTGTAACGTTTTGTGACTTTCTTAAAGGAGAGCTGGAAAACCTGCAGTCAGTTACAAAACTAAATGGTGTTACATTCGAAAGTGCATGTAATTAAGTTTCATGTTATTCCATAAACTCTTTTGGTATTGTTGAACTCATTTTGTTGGTAGATGCTATGGGAGTAGTGCAGTAGACAGTGGATGTTGTGGGTTTTAGATACTTTGATTTCACTGTTGATGTTTTCATCCAACAACTGCACCCCTTGTTTGAACAGGCTTGCAGAGAATACTTTTTTTCTGAAACTGATTGACATTTTTTGAACATAGTGACATTTTAATCCATAGACATTCATGTGCTCCTCTTTCATAAATAGCAGTGTTAAAGTTGTTTTAGATAAATTTGGATTAAAGATGCCTAGGGACTTTCCCCCATCCATATTTTGTGTCCTTTCCCTGGAGCCCTGCTCACATAGAATGATGTGTCTCTTCTAGCTGCATCGCTTTTTGAAGAACATCCAATTTCACAATCCTGCTGGAGACCAAGTGAACTTGGATAACAGAAGGAAACTGGACTCAGAGTATGACATTCTCAATTACTGGAATTTTCCAGGAGGCCTTAGACTGAAGGGTAAAGTGGGAACATTTTCTTCACATGCTCCCCGTGGCCAAAAACTGACTTTATCTGAGGATATGATAGAGTGGGCCACAGGAAGTACAGAGGTATGTTGTAGCTATCATGGCACACTTACTTAAGCACAAGTGAGCTAAACACTGTCCTAGGTTTTCTGCCCCCAGCTGTGGTCATGTAATGGTCATATGTGGATATTGAATAACAATAATAAGTTTTTAATTTAAAAAAATTGTTCAGAACCTTTTGGATGAGTGGGAAAATAATGTATTTACTTAATAATATTTTGGTAAATTTATATTTCATATTATGAAATTAATTTGGCATTCAATTATGTAGCTTTGTTCATGTTGCAAATCAAGATTATATCTCTCAAACTGAAGAAGTAAGTAAGAGTGTAAGAAGTTACTACCATATGTGTTTTTCCTTAGACTCCCCGCTCGGTATGCAGTGAGAGTTGCAATCCTGGATTTAGAAAAAGCCCTCAGGAGGGAAAGGCTGCCTGCTGTTTTGACTGCACCCCTTGTGCAGACAATGAGATCGCCAATGGCACAGGTAGGAGCATGTCCTGTGGACGCACTCTCACTTTATTTTCTATTCACTCCATGCATCCAGGAAATGGAAAAATCTTCTGGAAAGCACCAATGATAAAAATCTTCCTTCACTTATCAAAGTATTTGTTATACTAAGTGCTACTGCCTGGTTGGAAAACACATTTTCCACTTTGAAATGCACTCCAATTCATTTTCCTTTTATTTCACTCTTATTCATCATTTTTGTTTGCCTTTTCCACTGCTAGGAATTCAGTGACAATGTGCTCTATCCATGGTCTATGTCCTCAGATATTCTTATTTGTTATTATGAGATAGAATATCACTGATTTGCCTCATACCACCTCAAAAATTCAATAGACAGATCTCTGCCCGCTAATTATCTGGAATAATACATAGGCACCGCCACACCTGACTGCAGTGATTTATATTTCTATTCCCAAGGAAAGCATTATTTTCTCAAAAAAAGCCCGTTTCCCTACTCCACAGCTTCTAAGTTCCATCTCCATTGTGTAGTTTAACACAGAGTAGTGTTCAATCGAACTCTGTAGAACTACAGAAAGTTCACAATCAAGACAAGGTCAGGCACACTTCATCAGCCAGGGCCTGACAGTATTCTTCACACAGAGTGAGTTTGAGTGCAGATGGGGTTGTCTTTGATGTGCAACATGCTCATAGCCCAGCACGTTCAATTCCTACGATTTAATCTCCATTCTCCTAGAATGCATAGGTTAGTGGGGAGACAGAGTACGGCATAAATTCTAGTCTGTACCACAGAACTGCAAGGATGATAGGCACCCAGAATAGGGGATTTAACAAGTGAGAGTATCTACATTTCAGGAGGGTGTCATAGGCATTTTTACAGAGGTGACAGCATTAGTATTATATCACAATAAAAGAGGTGGCATAAATCCTTTTAGGATTATTATAATTGGCCATAATGGCATAGTCACCATTCATGGAATATTCAGATACCCTGAAGGAAAATACCATGTTATTAAAACACAGATAAAATGAGGATGAGGATTGAAACCTATGCCTATAAATTGATAGAAATCTAATGTAGAAATTATTGCATACCATAAATACCAGTTTGTAAGTATTTAGCTTACTTATAAATCATGACATGGTGGAATCATCTTCCTACTGAATATTATGTAATGTGAATTCATGGCTGATATAAATTTTGTTTTCAAAACATATTTAGTATGCTTTTCAATGATCTCTGCAATACATCAAGATAATTATGTACTGTATCATGTAATTATTTTCAATAGATATTTCCATAAATTGTAGGAATATGATACTTTATACAAATATTGTATGTTCACATGTAGAGAACAATGCACCCAATAATATCAGTTAATACATGCTTCCAGTATGTATAACACTCAGTCATACATACTATGTAGAATAGATCAAAGCACAAATTAAAGATCATGTGCGACTAAAAATCCTGTGTGTTAAAGCTGAAACTACACTGAGACAAATCTTCATTCTATATTCCATTTGCTTCTGTGCTGGTCAGTATTTAAATAAAAATGCTGCTGTTCTTCCTTTGAAATGGTCATCACACACTACAAAAAAACACAGTAAGTTGGACACAAGAAAATAAAAGATGGGATACAGTATGAAAGGAATTTTTAGAAAATGAAGACCGAGAAAATAAAAGTTAATGTGATTCTGGTAGTAAAAATTGACAACACAGCACAACTGATCAAGAAGAGAAAAATTGAAAGGTTGTATATCTGGAGAACTTTGGCCATTAGTACTTTTATATAGAAACTTTTCATATGAAAATAGAAGTCATTTCACAACAATCTATGCCTTCAAACTTATACAGTCACAGGAAACTTTAGCAAAAATGCCTTGAAATTTATATAGTGACAGGAAAATTTAGCAAAATACTCCTCAGAAAAAATAAAATTTACCATACTAATCGTATCTCTATGTTACCACGTTTATTACCTAATGAGAGCCCACAGTGTAGTATTTCACTCCAAATATTTATTGATTAATAACATTAGCAGTGAAATGTATATGCACTCCAAAACATATTATTTCTGACGTGATTCTTTCAGAAAAAAGGGAAAGAGGAAAATCAATTCATCTTAAGACAGGAACTAGATCGTCTTACTCATAGCTGAAAATGCACTTAGAAGAAATAAAGTTCACAGTCCAATTTCCTTTTCACACTAAATTCACATATTCTATTTCAAATGGAGGTACGTGCTTCAGGGGCAGCATACCATGAGCAAACTCAGTTTATTAAATATGATTCAAGGCACCAGGTCATGGGAAAAATAAAGCAATGCTAATCCATGCAGACAATATCATAAAATTGTACATCACTGGGATTCAGAAAGAAGCAACACAAGTATTTCTTACCAGATAAGTGAAGAAAAATCTCTAACTGCCCCTTAGAAATGGTATTTATCATATGCTATAGCTCATATTACAATTTGTGGTCTATTTCTGAAAGCAGGAATGGGATAAGAACTTTCTGTATCATACATCTGCCAGATGTTACACACTATATCATGGTCAGTGCAATGAAGAAAACACACAAAATCAAAAATGTATTAGAAAGGGAGAAACATGAATGAGATGAATTTAAAGTGATCCTTGTTTTTAAGTATAAAATCTATGTAAATGAATAAAATGATACTGGATGGCTTGGTTATGGAAGACAAGGCTATCGAAAGAAAAACCATTTCCACACCTCAGTCGTATGGCACTCAGAGATAAAAACTTGAAAATTGATTTCTGTAACGTTTACAGTCATTAAATACGTACTGATATATCCTGTAGTGATGTGAAAGATGAGGGAATTAAACTATTGAAATACCCTTTTCACAATAAAAATCATGATGCAGAAAGCACATTCACAGATGGAGAGGCTCAGTAATGGAACTACTTAACATACAATATGTTTCTTCACATGTATTTCCCCGGGACTTAACAAGTCATGTTGGCTTCCTAATATGAGGTATTTATTGAATATCTGGGGAATCATTGGTAAAGATTTTATTTAGATCAAATTAGTGAAGTAAGTGATAAAGTTGATCTTCTCCTACTCTGTAAAAATAGAATGTTTTCATGGATATGTCACATTTAAAAGGAGCATAAATAACAAATAGGACTTATTCTCTTTGCACTGTTCTTTTATTTTGTTATAGAAAGCAATGTAAAAGTGAGGTGTGATGATGCATGCTTGGAATCCAGGTCTCTGGGAGGCTGAGGCAGAAGGATTTTAAGTCAGAACGCAGCATAATGACTTAAGGGGATCCTTTCCTCAAAATAGCAAACTTAAAAGGATTGGTAATATATCTCAGTGCAAAGTTTCTGAAGGCAATCCCACATACAGAAAAAGAAAGAGAAAGAAAGTACAAAAGAAAAAATTAAACAGCGACAATTTAGTTATTGAAGTCTAATGAGTTTGTGAGGAGGCATCTATAAAAAATAATAATAATAAACTTAGGCAATTGACAATTTAATTTCTGCTAGATATGGAGCAGTGTGTGAAGTGTCCAGATCACCAATATGCCAACACTCAGAGAAACCACTGCCTGAGAAAAGCTGTGACTTTTCTGGCTTATGGAGATCCCTTGGGGAAGGCTCTGGTTGGCACCACCTTGGGTCTCACTACCCTAACAGCTGCTGTTCTTGTGCTCTTTGTGGAGCACCGAAACACTCCCATCGTCAAGGCCAACAACCGGGCTCTCAGTTACACCCTGCTCATCTCCCTCACCTGCTGTTTCCTCTGCTCCTTGCTCTTCATTGGCCGGCCCAGCACCACCACCTGCATCCTGCAGCAGACCACATTTGCAGTCGTGTTCACTGTGGCTGTTTCCTCTGTCTTGGCCAAAACCATTACTGTGGTGCTGGCCTTTAAGGTCACCACTCCAGGCAGAAGGATGAGGCAGTTGCTGACATCAGGGGCACCAAACTTCATCATCCCCATCTGCTCCTTGATCCAGCTCACTCTCTGTGGAGTCTGGATGGGGACAAATCCACCCTACATTGACACAGTTGCTCACTCTGAACATGGCCACATCCTCATCGTGTGCAACAAGGGCTCCCTCACTGCCTTCTACTGTGTGCTGGGATACCTGGGCTCCCTGGCCCTGCTGAGCTTCACCGTGGCTTTCCTGGCCAGGAACCTGC